GCAAACTCCTTGAATTGAAGAGATGGAGGTGAGAATCTAGGAGAATGCGAAGGCCAGAGGTAACAGACAGAGTCCCAGACAGGGGAGATTTGCATAGAGACACCCAGATGTCATCTAAAGGTCCTCCTCATATAGTCCACAGAGCACTGATCATGTGCAAAATGAGATACCTGAGCCCCCAGGGAGGGGAGGGTCACCCCCCCCAAAGAGTAAAAAGTACCTGGAAGTCAGGTAGGACTTGGAAAAACAACGCCTGTTTCTGTCAGGCCAATTGGAAAACCTCGTGAATCGAGAGCACTGGAGAAAGTACTCACGGCTCTGGCCTTTATAATGGGGGATAATTAGTCTAATCACTCTGTTGTGAAACATTGCTCCAGATTTCCCTTAAAAAATCGTGAAAGAAAGACTTGAAAGGAAGAAACTCTTTCCACGAACTTCACTGAATCCAAAAGCAAAGCTCAAGAATATTTATGAGAATATAAAAAATATCTACCCCTCCACAAGTCAAATTCATGACATCAGAATCCAGTGAAACTTACCTGGCAGGAGGAGAAGCTGGAAAATACGACTCAGTGAAGGGAAAGTCGTCGACCCAAACTGATCCACACGGAGCTGAAGCTGTCAGACCAGAGCACTAAACGTGGTTTTAACTGCATTCCGCATGTTTAAAAGTTAGATTGCTGCCTGGAAGATAAAAAATGCCGACTTGGACTTGTAGAGACATAAAACTTGTAGACATACAAAATACACTGGATGTTATTAACAACAACTAAGACATTGCAAAAGAAAAGACCGTAAATTGGAAAATATACCCCCCAAAATATCTCCAATAAATAGAGAAAAATTATTTTCAATGAAAATCACAGAACTTTGGAAATAATTCAAGCAGCCTAAAATACAAGTAACTGGAGTCTCAGAGAGGAAGAAGTGGGCAGGAAAAATATCTCAAAAGATAATTGCTGGAAAATTTCCAAATGTGATGGAAACTGTAAAACAACAGATCCAAGACTAAACAAAGGCACGCACAAGAAACATGAGGAAAGTGACACCCAGGGATATGATAACCAATTCATTAGTACTGGCCACAAAAGAAAACCTTAAAAGCAAACAGAAGAAAAACCCTTGCTACGTGAAGAGGAATTAACATAACCATGACAGCAGATTTCTCATCTGAAACAACGCAGGGAGGAGCCAGGACAGCAGTATCTCTAAAGTACTGAAAGGGAAAATTAAACTGCCACACTAGAATTCTATAGACAGTAAATTTTTTTGAGACAGAGTCTCACTTTGTTGCCCTTGGTAGAGTGCTGTGATGTCATAGCTCATAGCAACATCAAACTCAAGCGATTCTCTTGTCATAGCCCCCCCCCCCAGTAGCTGGGACTACAGGCACTGGCCACAGTGCCCGGCTATTTTTAGTGATGGGGTCTCGCTCTGGCTCAGGCTGGTCTCGAACCTGTGAGCTCGAGCAATGCCCCTGCCTCGGCCTCCCGGAGTACTGGGATTACATGTGTAAGCTACCGCCCTGGCCCTCCTCCAAAATCTTTTAAATAGGAAGGCAAATGAAGACTTTTTCCAACATAGAAAAGCTGAAGGAATCAGTGGCCCAGTAGTATAAGAAACGTCGAGGCAGGAGAAAGCAGTGGAAAACCACGGGACGAGGTGGCAGCATAGATCAAAATGGTCAACATGGAAAAATGGAACTCATCAAAAGAAGGATATTACCTAAATTTTATCATTTACCATGATGCAAATCTAGGAGTTTTATATTAAATCTTTTTCCTTAAAAAAAAAGGAAATGTTAAAGCAGTCCCCCGGGCTGAGTAAAGATGGTGTCAGACGGATCTACCTGAGCGCGCTCAGAGGCGGCTGCTGGTGTCTTCTGCCCGGGTCCCGCGATCTGGAACTGAGGGTGCCCTGAAGACGTGCCAGGGCACGGACAGGGGCGCAACCAGAAGGAGACAGGGCTGCCTGACCATCCAGACCACTCACCAGGGACCTGTTGTTGAGAGACAGATAAAAGTCTACGTTTTTAAAGTGTCCATATTTGGGCATTTCCCTGATACCACAGATTGACCCTTCTCTAGTTAGTGTTAATGGAATCATTTTTACAGCTGTAAAGTTCTGCTTTTCACATTAAGATCTCGAATTTACTTGATACTGTTTTCCACATGACCAGAGTGACCCAGAGCATTCTAAGGAGAAGGCCGTCCTCTTCGCGCTGATCTGAATGCTGACTTTTCCGTGAATCTAGCTCGGGCGTCTCTGCATGGCCGGCTTCCATTAGTCTGTTTCTCTGTATGACGATATCCAAGCACTAACTGGACGTGTTTGGACTAAGACTTAATATGCAATAGGGAAAATGCTCGATTCTTCTTTGTCAAATATATTAACTCTTCCTACCATATTGAATTTCCAAATACATTTTATGGAGTCCATTTTTAAAAAGTAGATGAAAAGGTTATGCAGCTAGGTCACATCAATTTCAACCTATCTTATGAGTCTCTCCACGCAGCAGTCTCTAGTCCTCTGACAAGGTTGATCTCAGAGTGAGCTTTTTTTTCCTTACAGCCATAGTGGAGAGGGGCACGGCAGTGAAGAGGTGACAGTTTGCCTACCTGGTAGACATCTGGGGTCGGGGCTCCTCCTTGTTTCTCAGCGATGCTCTGCCTTCTCCTAGAACTAAAGATCCTGTTCCCCCTTTGGTCTCCCTCAGCTTCACTTATTTTGGCGTGAAACATGGGACGTGAGATCACTACTGCGATCACATTTAAGTGTGTGTTGACTTTATGCTGAGGGCATGAATCGGCAGCAAGGTTTGCCATTACTGTTCCAACAATATTGGATCATTTGAAACAAAGGTAAAGAAGCTGAATGACGGGTTCTGCGTGAATTGAACAAGTGTCAGAAGAGAAATGTCTCGAAGCTTGCTCTTTCTGCTGTCACCACATAAAGGCAAACTGTCTCTATACCGTGTTGTTATTTGTGAAGAAAAATGTGTTCTGTTTGACAGTTGTCAGTGTCAAATAGAAATCTTCAATTTGCAATTGTGTTCAATCCTATGACGGGAAGAAATAGAGTTTTCTGTAAAAACAACTGGAGAGAAAAGTGAGAATAATACACTGTCCACTTTTCAGTTAGACTATACTCTGTACAAATGAAACCCAGTTTAATCTCTAACACATTCATGTAGCAAAACAAACTCAGATTTTTGCATTTAATTAATCTGTTTATTCATTTCTCCCACAACATTTGCTTTCGTTGATCAGTATAGTGTCTAACTATTTGGCTCAAAAAAAGGACCAAGACTCACCCCCGTCTTTGAGAAGATTATAATTTAATTTTTGAAGAATTAGTAGTACCTTTCATTAATATAATTGCATGCCGAATGAAAACCAATATATTTGTGTCCTTTTCATTCTTTTTCAGATGAGGATAGGCATTCACTCAGGTTCCGTGCTGGCTGGAGTTGTTGGGGTGAGAATGCCACGTTACTGCCTGTTTGGAAATAATGTCACTCTGGCCAGCAAATTCGAGTCGGGAAGTCACCCTCGGCGCATCAACGTCAGCCCCACCACTTACCAGTAAGTGTGCTCCGTCCGCCTCCTCCCTGTCTTGGGCGTTGCTTTGAGGTGACACCCTGTCATTTTTGAGACTGTTCTTTTTCTTGATCCTATCATTCTCCAAGATGCCATGAGTAGTTCTGCCCCGTCTGAAAGACAGTAATTGTGATGCGAACTTTTATTTCTACCCTGCGAGAGGGCGTGAAAAATCTGACTTGACTGAGAGGTAAACAAAGGTTTGTCGTTTGCCACAGTTTCTGTCCTTCTGAGGTGCACACAAGAGAGCACATGTTACGCGTTTGCATTACACTAGAAATCCCCAAATTTCCAGTGTTCATTATTTCTAAAAATCAAAGGAATAATAGAATAGAACGAGCAGTTTGTTTTTATTCTTTTGAGGAATGACTGTGAAGAAGAATGCAGTGAAGTTCCGTGTGTGTGGTGTCCCTGATCAGAAATGCTGAGCGTCAGAAGAGGTTCGGATTCTGGATTTTTTCAGGCTCTGGGATATTTGCATTATATTACCAGCTTGCCTTCCCCAAACTAAAAATCCAAAATCCACTCAAAACACTCTAGAGTCTGGAGGTTTCAGATTTTGTATTTTAGGATGTGGATGCCCAGCTGTTCTGGGTACAGAGTAGAACTTCAGAGTACCTGAAAGGTCGTCGTTGGCAATGCTACACTATGTGTTTGCCTCCTTAACGCTTCTTTATTTGCGGCCAGTAGAAATCTGTCCTCCCCTCCCCCACTGGATGGCAAGCCCCGTATGGGAAGGGGCCATGTCTGGTTTGGCTCATCCTTATATATACCTGCAATGTACAAAAAATGTTCATGGAATTAATGAAAAATGCACCAATAAGATGGGCTTCTCCAGAATATATAGCAGAGAACAGCCTGAAAATCTCTTATACTGTCCAACTTTCGCTTTACGCTAAGCGTTGGTGTACTAGCTATTTAGTTAGTGTTAGATTGTAGGTCATAGTGAAATGTAAGAGTAAGGTCAGTGATCAGTGTAGAGTGAAATTAGTGATCATTGATATTTTTATTGACACGATTACAAAAAAAAAACCCTTAAAGAGAAAATTTGAATATAAAGTTAGTTATATGACTAAAAGTTGATTATAGTAACAAATAGAATTATATATATTGAAAGTTTTAATACCAAAACTATACAGAGAAATTTTAAAGTTTTTTAATGAAAGGCAAATCCTTCCAGATAGCTGAGGAATTGATGAAAAAGAGAACTGAAACTACAAATATAAAATCGAGAGAAAGTTCACATTAAAAAAAAATAGACTCTGAAGCACTTGCTAAATCCACTAAGAACTGAATTTCTGGACTTTACTATTTTTTTTCTTTTTTTTTTTATTAAATGATGGCTGTATACATTAATGCAAACATGAGGTACAGTGTAGTGTTTTCATATACATTTTGAAATACTTTCATCAAGCTGGTTCACATAAATTTCATGTCATTTGCATAGGCATTGTGTCAAAACATTTACATTCTAGTTCTAGAAAAGTTCACTTGTACCCTTGTTAGACAAAAATAAGGTGATCTTTCCGGTCACCCTCCCACCACCCGTTCTTCTTAGCAAAGTATCACAGGAATGGAAGAAAAAGTATCCAATGTACACAGCCCTTTTATGAAACTAATATATACTTCTCAAATGAAAGAAACAACTTAATTCTAACCCAAGAATATGTGGGGGGGGGACTTTACTATTTTTGAAGGAAGACATGTCTCTAACAGAATAAGGAGTCCAGGAGAGTTGGAGGGCCTGCAGATAACTTCCGGACCCTGTTCAAGAATCCGTCAACCTTACTTAAGAGCAATCTCCATTTGGGGATGTTTGCCAGGGGACTTTGCCTCTTCTGGATTTTGCCCTCTCCTTATTTTTCTAACACAATTCTGAGCATATGAAAGATTATCTGACAAGAATTGCAATATCAAATTGAATTTGTCCAGTTCTCTAGAGAGATCGGTGATTCTGATACTTTACGCGGCACACACAGTGTTCTCAACCTCTCGTATCTCACGAGAGGAGTTTAACCTGTAGTTACAGGAGTTTACAGGAGTTTAACCTGTAGTTACAGGAGTTACAGGAGTTTAACCTGTAGTTACAGGAGTTTAACCTGTAGTTAAACTTCCACAGCACACTTCAACTATGTTGATCAAGACAAAGAATAAGGAAAAGAATGTCCTTACTGTGCTTTGAACTTCCTTTGAAAATAATTTAATTAATAATCTTTTAAAATGTTGGCGGCACACCAGTGTGCTAGCACCCCTGTTGAAAATCACTGTTCTGTAGGTGGGAAGTTACTGATGAAGATCAGCCGCCCCATCCATTCTTTTTTTTCCATCATGATGCTAATACTTATTTTCCACATTTGTGTAACTTAGCATAGACTTACATCTTCTGTGGAAAGTCAATTTTTAAAAACTGATTATAACGGGGCCAGCTGTGTGGTGCTTCACACTCAGAACTGAGACATCACAGCTGTTGTGGTCTTTTTTTACATGGGACCGATCAGAAAAGCCTGCCAGCCACAGAGGCACCAGCACATTTGCTGGTGTCTCTGAGGTTCATCATCTGCGTTTGCTGGTGTCTCTGAGGTTCATCATCTGCGTTTGCTGGTGTCTCTGAGGTTCCATCATCTGCGTTTGCTGGTGTCTCTGAGGTTCCATCATCTGCGTTTGCTGGTGTCTCTGAGTTTCCATCATCTTTTTCACCTTGCACTTGTGCTGATCCTTAGTGATCAATAGGGTCTGAAGAATTAAATCATTTCAACTACCACAAATATTGAAGCATTTTTTCCTCTTATTGTCTCCCCCCCCCCACACACACAAAAGTCAGACAGAGTTGCAGATAAACACTGTGAGCTGCAATTAGGTGGGTAGATTCTTAGAACAAAAGGCTTTACGAGAGTTTGACATCTTCGGTTTTCTTCCCTGAGTGATGTTCTACAGAATGTCCAACATTGCCTGGTTATCTTGAAATCTTTAGAGAGGCTCTTATTAAATTTATTTTTAATAAAACTATATGATTATCATAAACCTTGAGAAATATTATGACAAATTGAAATCATTTTCTGAATAGTTCATTACAAATACATTTTGCCTGAAATATCCAAATAATTTATTTCAAAAAAGACCACTTTTGTAACTATTGTGGAATATTGAATATTAAAGGATAAAATAATATTCCCAGGCTGGGCGCCTGTAGCTCAGTGGTTAGGGTGCCGGCCACATGCTCCAGGGTTGGTGGGTTTGATTCCAGCACAAGGCCTGCTAAATAACAACAACAAAAAAAAACAGCTGGGTGTTGTGGGGGCACCTGTAGTTCCAGCTACTAGGGAGGCTGAGGAAAGAGAATTGCTTGAGCCCAGGAGTTTGAGGTTGCTGTGAGCTGTGATGCTACAGCACTCTACTGAGGGTGACAAAGTGAGACTCTGTCTTAATTTAAAAAAAAAAGTCCTAATCCCATCACTGGTTTAATACTAATTTGTTTTAGACATTTTTATTTGTTTATTTATTTATTTTGAGACAGAGTCTCATGTTTTAGACATTTTTTAATAAAAACAAATTAAACATTTCCATTGGAACTTTACCTCACTTTTATTGTGACAAATATCCTAGGGAATTTGGTATATTTTAAAGTCAAGTGTCTTATGTATGTTTACATGTGTGTCCATAAGCAAACAGTTTTATTTTGTACATTTTAATTTCCATATGTGGCATCTTGCTATATGACTCTTTCTCTAACTTTGGTTCCTTTAAAAAAAAATTTTGTATTTTTAAGAACTATCCATGTTGGAATATGAAGCTCTAACTCATTATTTTATTATGATATGATGTTCCATTGTGTAACTATATCATATTTTAATGTTCTATTCATTTATTTCTTTAATGATGAACACAAGCTTATTTTCTACTTTTAAATATTTACAAAATATGTTCTTAGAGACATCATTTACCTGCCCTTTCATAAGTAGGTTATTTTACATTTCATACGAGATGAATAATTATGCTTCCTAGAGGTTGCTAGAACTAAATGATCAGGTGCTATTTAACTTAAACATTTATTGTGGACATTAGAAGCAGACTTTAAAATCAGGACTGTAATTCTTGTATGTTATTCCACATTTTGGGGGTCACTTAGCGTGCGAGTCATGTTGCTTAAAGTGACGGCTGAGAATCATTTTCTTTTTACCTAGGGTCCTTTCAATGCTAGTCTTACTGGACAAAAAGAAATCTTCATCAAGTCTTGAGTTTTGCAAGTTCGATGTTTTCACTTTTCTCTAATAAAAATGACGTGTACGTTCATCTTTGTTCCCACTCATCTGTGTTTAAAACTAGTGCACATATTACAAACAGTGGCCTTAACATCCCGCTACTGATCTGTGAAGCTAAAATAAATTGCTTCTGTTAAGGAGGGCTTCAGCGAATTTTGAAATAACCAAATGATTTGCCCAAGCAGCATTTTTTGTTTTTCCTTTCTCTGTGCAAATTAAAAATGTAGAAAGACTTTTTAATTACTTTGGTATGAAATCTTCCTTAACCTTTGAACACTTTTGTTTTCTTCTATTTCGAGTGCCTATTTTCATGCACTGTGAAAGCCTTCGTTTTCTGTTAAAACTGAGTTGACTTCTCATCACCACATAAACAGCTCGAGATACGCAGGGACCCAGCATGGAAGAGGACCCGGCAAGCGGTTAAGTGCACCTGTGGTGGAATCCAGCTTCCAACACTTATTGTTGGCATGGAGTTTAGGAACCTAATTTATTTTGGTCAAATGTTATCATTTTTAAAATGGCACCTGTTTTATAAGATTATTGTTGGGACTTCATGTAATGTTTATAAAGCTCCTAATATTTGGAACATAATAGACATTCATTTATTGCTTCAGCCTCTTCTTCTCATGAAAAAAAGAAAAAGACCATCTTCTTCTTGCATTAGACCCTCATATATCTTATAAATTAGCCATGCTGAATCAAGTGTGGTAGTTGGATTACAGACTT